TATTTCAGTATTCTTAAGGTTATTTGTTGTTTAATAAACTGTAATAATGTATATGGTACGAAATCTGATAGTATTTTTATTAATGTTATTCTATATATGACATTCTTATATATTCTGTGTATATATTAATAATTATTCTATTAAAATTATTAAATGCTTATTTCAGATGTAAAATAATTGACATCCTATGCATAGTAGTAATTTACGGAGCAGATTCTGTTATCAAACATAAAAAAAAGAATTCATTAACAAAGCATGAGATTCTTTTAAGTGAGAGTTTATTATTATTGTCTCTGCTATTAGAATCTCATGAAATGTTATGAAAACAACAACATCCATTCAGTTATTTTTCAGACTTTTTGGAAAATAAGAATCTGTTAAAGTATCTTTATTCAATGCCATATATGTTCTACAAACATTGAAAATAAAAATATGATTTAAAGTGTTGCAAGTATAAAAAGCAGCATAATGTACTGTATAACATAAAATAAAAGAACATAAAATACAAATTTCATATGAATTACTTACATATAGATTTCTTACAATTAATTATTATTTTTCTAATTTTGGATTTTATTACAGTATTACAAATTTTATTACAGTAATATTTTTATCTTAAACACAATATCTCTCTCACTCATACACACAACACACACACACACACACACACACACAACACACACACACACACACACACACACACGCACGCACACACAGATACTAACATATTTTGTTTTAATTAATTGCAGAGAAATCCAATTTTATATATTAATAGATTTCTATTTTCAAATAGAAGCAGCGTATTGTACATTACTATAAAGTTAGTATTATAACTAGAAACTAAAAGAGATTAATTTATCATTAGGGTCATCAGGATTTTGTTAAAAATATAATGCTGCTTTTCATTGCGTCAACAATTTATGTGAAAATATAACTTATAATCGTTAATTTATAATCGTTATATTCGTTCCAAATATTGTTATTAATTATGTTATTAATTATGTTCCCTGGCGAATGAAGCATTAACACTTCGTTTACGCTTCGTTGTTTCAATTTACGCCTCCTAGAAGCTTCGTTTACACTTCTGTTACTCTTTCCTTACATTCGACTTATGCTCCGATATTTATTTTCGCCAGGGTTATAATTATGTTACTAAATATACATGGAGAAGATGTATTTGCTAATTCATCCTAATAATAATAGGATCAATCCATTTAATTCAATTTTTCCCGGAAATACATGTCTATACAGTCTGACGAGAAAAACAAGATTTAGAGAATTTACTCTTATTGAAATTTTGTTCTAAAATAATTTATAACTTGTTATATGATTGTGAAATCTATGAAGTTAAGAAATCTGTCATAATTACGGTGATAAAGAAAGAAACAGATGTAATTTTGGAATATTATTTTTATTTATATATAAATTTGTATTTCAACTTTTTGTACGTAATATATACTGTGCATAAATATTTAATATGTTACACCATTCTGCCTTACATATGTATCTTGTTGTTATGATAAATTTCTTAATACTTTATATTACTTTTTTAAAATAAGTTATTATTATTTCTTTTATTATTCTTTATTATTTTTAATTTTACAATGAATCTACGTTTTATTCATTATTATTGAGCATAATATTGTGTCTGTGATTACACACTGATGGAAAACAAAACATTTTAATGTCTAAAAACAATGTTTACATCATTCCGATCATACGCAGTTAAATTATGTTAATTTCATTATGAGATGATATATAGCTAATGAAACGGCTTCTCTCTCATAATGTTGTTTTCAATTTATTTGACTGAAACATGTTTATGCGCGCCGGCATTCATCCATATCTATGCGCGTCTACATACGATGACGCGACATACATTGACACGACATGTACGAACATGTTTCAGTCAAATAAATTGAAATAATTATAAGATTAAAAACTTAGGAAGTCTTCATATATCCCTCTTCAAATGTTATGAAGCTTTTCATTGACTATCATTTCATAATAAATTTAACACGATCTGTAATTGAACAGTGAATATATTGTCTTTAGATATGAAAATGTTTTGTTTTTCAGCAATTATATTAGACGGACACAAAATATATTATAATATAAAAAAATGGAATAAAATATATAAATTCATTGTAGGATTGAAAATAATAGAGAAAGTAATACAGAAAATTATAAAATAATAAAAAAAATAACTTATATTAAGGCGATTACATTTTAAAAAGCCAAGAAATTTATCATAACGATGTGCAAAGCAGAATGATAACATTAAATATTTATATATATATAGCATACAAAAAGTTGAAATATAAATTTATACATAAATAAGAATAAGGGCCATCGCACACGAAATTATGCATAAAAGCCCTTGCACAATGTTAGTAATAGGCAATAGGAACAGAGTATGGAACCTATTCACCAATAAAAACGCGGAATAAAAAATATTCTGCCAAAGGAGCAGGAATAAGTACTATCTGTCCTATTGCCTACATTGTGCAAGGTCTTAAACATAACTGCTATGACCATATAGTATCGAATATTATGTTATGTATAGTTCAATATGCCATTAATACTCGATGTTCATTTGATTCATACGGCTTATCTATTGCATATGCAGCTATGCAATGTCGTGTACGAATGACCCTAATATTCCAAAATTGCGNAGCCACTTCTATAGACCATGCATGCTTGTGACTATGCTTTCTCCTTTCTTTGTATTTTATTGATACTGCGTTTTATTCTGTCTCATTTGATTTATTTATTTTTTCTTTGTTTGTATTAGAATCATTGAAGAAGGCTCGAATCGAATCCGAAAACGTTTGGAATAAAGCGAATGGATCGTTAAAATCAAGTCGCTGTTTTGGAAATTATTTTATCCACGCCCTACAACTGCGTTGGCTCTTAACTGCCTTTCGATATCAATTTGATTTGTTAATTTAGAGGAGCCTTTAACTTTGTTTATTTTATGTTAATTGCAAATTACATATTTTTTCTAGAAACAACTATATATTTTCCGTAGACCAATTGATTCTCTCTCATTATTTTGTACATAAAAGTATAAGGTAAGATAATCTAAAAATGAATATTTTACAAAATATTTTACGTTTATGTAAAATTAAGAAATGATTTCAAGCTCATAATTCGGAAAATACTTAAGTAAACTTAATTATAGTGTTTTTGAAAGCTCTCGAGATAAGCTACAAGAATGTGCAATAAAAAATTGGAATTTCCGTACAGAATTCAAGGTGACCTTTACGTGACCTTGACAACACTCTTCAAGGTCATACTGATATCGCCATATAATACGATACTTGAACTTTACAACTTTGTCTGAAATATTTTATCTGCCGCGCTCTGTTTTTGAGATATTCGGTTGATACGGATGTCTGCGACACCCTGTATATAAAATTATATATTAAAATATATCTAATACTTTTGTTTTCCCGAATATTTTAAACTTCTTAAGAAAAATGACAAATAGTTTGAGAAACTTGCAAATAAAAGTGACAATTTACAATATAGATGATATTTACCGAGCGCGCATCACAAATCAGTTTCGAGAGTAGTTTTTTCCGCATTTTTATATATGTATTTTTGCGTTTCGAAAAACTCAATTAGATGTTCCACAAATTTTTTATGATTCATCAATTTGCTCAGCTTGGGTTTTTCTATTTTCGGCAGCTCGAGAGGACTGCCAACTAAAATGAAGAAACGAAACACAACATTTTTTTTTTATATTGTAGAATAAAAAAAGATAATATTAAGAAAATGTAATATACACATATATAAGGTATATATTAAATTTAAAATGTAGTGAGAACTTTACCGACTACGGTGACAGGTAATCGATTTGGAATAAGACCAAACGAATATTGAAAGAATCCTCTACCCCAAAAAATAACCGGCAGCAATCCTGCGATATTGCGAATGTAGTCCTGGATACGTCTTAAAGTCGATCCTTTCGGACTATACACTTGATTGTATAAATCCGTTCGCCAAACGATAAAACGGGAACTAACGGCGTACTAAATTATAAAATTGTATTAGATTTGAGTGTCGTGTTCAGTATTAGTATTTATTACCATATCAGATCGTATCAGTATTCATATCGTGATATTTTTCATACTGTTCAAACTCTTTTCTTTTCTCTTTCCTTCTCTCTTATTTTCTTAATATATGACTTATTCTATCCATCGGCATATAGTACTGACGGAACATGGAACTGAAATCATATTGACAGATGTAGAAAGAGACAAGGCGATGTGAGGATAGTAACGGCTTATGGAACTATGGAGTCATGAGACTCTTCAAAATCTTATGTATCTTATCTGTGTTTAATCCACTTGTTTTGAATAATAATAAGCAGAAACCATTATTATTAATAATTTGTATATTGTTGATTATGGACGTCTGTCTCACTTATCCTTTCTGTTAATTCAGTTTTGTGTATCGCGCTCGCCGTATATGATGTATTGTGTCTTATTTTTTTTCTCTTCTTTTATCAGACAGATGGCGTGCGCTGCCACGGTTATCATACGATTACTTGTCGTGTATTTCTTATTATTCTCAGTTAGTCTACTTTACGCCGTTGTAACACATGTATTTTTTATTCGCTCTGCTATAAAGAAATCCCAATAGGTTATGGGCCCAGGCATGTGAACTGCTAATAGATATCAAAAATAAAAAGGGGCACAGTGTACAAAGAAAGACAGAGGTCCAAGTATCGTCGCTTGAAACTGCAAGGATGGAAATAAATTTGAAGTCTGTCACGCAACTGAACTCGAGCAGTTATGTTCGATGACGTTTTGAGATTCAGGCTCATCTTGAAGCTAAAGAGGTATTTGATGTGGCCAATGGATCGAGAGTGCAACCAACGGATGCTACGCTGTCTGACTGGAAAAAGAAAGATGCCTTGGCGAGATCGCTAATAAGTAAGTCTCTCGATGATGCGCATTTTAACATGGTGGTCGCTTGTGTCATCGGCTGACATGTGGAAGACTCTCGTGAGTCATTACGATGAGGTTTCGAACACGACAAGGCAAGCTGCATTGGAAGCGTATAATGATTATCATTGGAAAGAGGATATGACCGTAGACGTCATATATTTCGGGACTTATGCTCATAGAAAACAAGCTCAAGGCACAAAAAATAAATATCAAAAAGGAAATGATCATTACAAAAATCGTTCGAGGTCTACCGCAAAAATTTGAAAATTTCAAGCAAGTATGGCGGATTTGTCCCACGAAGGACATTACGGTGGAACAATTGCAAGCAAAGTTACTAGATGTCGAACGCGATGTTGGAGCAACGCCATCTGGAAACCACGGTGTAGCACTATCGGGTCAGAAAGATCGCGATGATAAAAGCAAGAAGAAAGCTGTTTGTAAAAAGGATAGGAAGAAGCTGCAGTGTCATAATTGCAAAGGCTTTGGACATTTTGCTCGCGACTGTCCATCTGAGAAGAAAGATAAGAGCTCAGGAGGAAGTTCGTCTGATAATCGAGTTGGCGATGACGGCAGAACAAAATCTGAAAGACGTTGATGACTGGATCGGCGATTCAGATGCGTAAAAACATATTACTAGAAACATAATTGGTTTGTTGAGTTAAAGGCATTGAATCCCCCGGAAGAAGTAAAAGTGGGCGACGGCAGGATTCTAAAGGCTACAGCTATCGGTAAAATAAATGTAAAAGTCCATGATGGAGAAAAATGGGTACCACGATGTCTCAAGGATGTAAGATTAGTTCCTGATTTTGGGCCGCTCAATCTTTTCTCTATTGTAGCCACGACCGACATGGGCTATGAAGCGCATTTCAGTAAGTCAACGGTGGTGGTTAAGAATTCAGAAGGCGACGTTATTGTCCGTGGTGTCAAGAAAGGACATTCGACGTATCGAATGTTAATCAAAGTAGAGAAACCGGCTGAAGCTTGTGTTGTTCAGAAGGAGGTCTCTGCGTCATGGGACTTGGCATCGCAGACTTGGACATGCAGGAAAGGACAAAGTAAAAGAGCTGCTGAAATCTAAAGGATACGGTGCGACTGGAAATGAAGATTTCTTCTGTGAAGCTTGTGTCTTTGGAAAGATGACCAAAGGACCATACAAGACAAGTGTTAACAAGGATTTCAAGCCAGGTACAAAAATTCACTGCGATCTCAGTGGAAAGGTCTCAATAGATTCTGCTAGCGGTTATAAATATTTTGCTGTCTTCATTGACGAGAGTTCCGGCTACAAGAAAGTCGCTATGTTAAAGAAGAAGGAACTTGTCGAAGAATTCACAAGAGTAATCCAGGAAGTAAAAGAAGAAACGGGACGCCCAATAGAAATTTTGCGAACAGATCAAGGAACGGAATTCACAGGGACATCATTTAAAAATCTTCTAAAGAAGCACAAGATCAAGCATGAAACAAGTGTCGAGTATACACCGCAGTCTAATGGTATGGCTGAACGTGCCATCCGATCTCTTACTGAAAAAGCTCGTTCTCTGCTTGCAAGTGCAAACCTACCAAAGTTTATGTGGGCTGAGTGTGTATCTACTGCTTGCTATCTGTCGAATTTTGTAGCCACCCATGATTTGAAGAAGACATCTTACGAACTTTGGCATGGAAAGGAGCCGTCCATCGAGCACTTACGTGCATTTGGTTGTGACGCTTTTGTGCACATCCCAAAACAAAAGAGAAACAAGTTCGATAAGAAAGCTCGAAAAGGACAGCTGATAGGCTATGGACCAAGCACGAAGCTGTATCATGTTTATTTCCAAGATCTTCAAGATGTTCGCATTGTGCGTGACGTAAAATTTAATGAAGAAAAGCAGAACTCTTTCTACGTGGAGGACGAGATAAAGTCGTCACCCGTTGGTTATGATTGATCGAGGCCGTAGGACACAGCTTAAGCCAGTTAATTAATGTGTCCGCTACTAAGCGATTCTCGAGTCTTTGCGGAAATCGGCTTTTCGAGACGCTCGCACAATGCTAACAATCAACCGTCTCGGTGCTTAAAAATGTAGTGCATATGACATGCCGCTCGCAAACCATCAAATTCACACGCCACCGCGGTCTTCCCCGAAAATCGCTCATTCCTGGTTGATCCCTCTCCCTTTCCTCCCTCCTGGGAATTGAGGATACCGAGATCAACAGGATGACGATTTCGGAAAGCGTCATTGGTTAGCGGTTCCGCTTGGTTTATGTACATTTGCTGTTTCGACGTGTAGCATGGCTTAGCGATTTCCTTCGCAGAATCGCTTTCCTTCATCTCTATTTAGTCTCGCCTCGATCATCATCACCAACGCGGTGCGACTTTATTCTCGTCCCCACGTAGGAAAGAGTTCTGCTTTTTCTTCATTAAATTTTACGTCAACGCACATGCGAATCATCTTGAAAGATCTTGAAATAAAACATGATACAGCTTTTCGTGCTTGGTCCATAGCCATATCAGCTCCTTTTCGAGCTTTCTTATCGAACTTGTTTCTCTTTTCAGTTTTGGATGTGTCACAAAAGCGTCAAACCAATGACGTAACGTGCTCGATGGACGGCTCCTTTCCATGCCAAAGTTCGTAAGATGTCTTCTTCAAATCATGGGTGGCTACAAAATTCGACAGATAGCAAGCAGTAGATACACACTCAGCCCACATAAACTTTGGTAGGTTTGCACTTGCAAGCAGAGAACGAGCTTTTTCAGTAAGAGATCGGATGGCACGTTCAGCCATACCATTAGACTGCGGTGTATACTCGACACTTGTTTCATGCTTGATCTTGTGCTTCTTTAGAAGATTTTTAAATGATGTCCCTGTGAATTCCGTTCCTTGATCTGTTCGCAAAATTTCTATTGGGCGTCCCGTTTCTTCTTTTACTTCCTGGATTACTCTTGTGAATTCTTCGACAAGTTCCTTCTTCTTTAACATAGCGACTTTCTTGTAGCCGGAACTCTCGTCAATGAAGACAGCAAAATATTTATAACCGCTAGCAGAATCTATTGAGACCTTTCCACTGAGATCGCAGTGAATTTTTGTACCTGGCTTGAAATCCTTGTTAACACTTGTCTTGTATGGTCCTTTGGTCATCTTTCCAAAGACACAAGCTTCACAGAAGAAATCTTCATTTCCAGTCGCACCGTATCCTTTAGATTTCAGCAGCTCTTTTACTTTGTCCTTTCCTGCATGTCCAAGTCTGCGATGCCAAGTCCCATGACGCAGAGACCTCCTTCTGAACAACACAAGCTTCAGCCGGTTTCTCTACTTTGATTAACATTCGATACGTCGAATGTCCTTTCTTGACACCACGGACAATAACGTCGCCTTCTGAATTCTTAACCACCACCGTTGACTTACTGAAATGCGCTTCATAGCCCATGTCGGTCGTGGCTACAATAGAGAAAAGATTGAGCGGCCCAAAATCAGGAACTAATCTTACATCCTTGAGACATCGTGGTACCCATTTTTCTCCATCATGGACTTTTACATTTATTTTACCGATAGCTGTAGCCTTTAGAATCCTGCCGTCGCCCACTTTTACTTCTTCCGGGGGATTCAATGCCTTTAACTCAACAAACCAATTATTGTTTCTAGTAATATGTTTATACGCATCTGAATCGCCGATCCAGTCATCAACGTCTTTCAGATTTTGTTCTGCCGTCATCGCCACTCGATTATCAGACGAACTTCCTCCTGAGCTCTTATCTTTCTTCTCAGATGGACAGTCGCGAGCAAAATGTCCAAAGCCTTTGCAATTATGACACTGCAGCTTCTTCCTATCCTTTTTACAAACAGCTTTCTTCTTGCTTTTATCATCGCGATCTTTCTGACCCGATAGTGCTACACCGTGGTTTCCAGATGGCGTTGCTCCAACATCGCGTTCGACATCTAGTAACTTTGCTTGCAATTGTTCCACCGTAATGTCCTTCGTGGGACAAATCCGCCATACTTGCTTGAAATTTTCAAATTTTTGCGGTAGACCTCGAACGATTTTTGTAATGATCATTTCCTTTTTGATATTTATTTTTTGTGCCTTGAGCTTGTTTTCTATGAGCATAAGTCCCGAAATATATGACGTTACAGTCATATCCTCTTTCCAATGATAATCATTATACGCTTCCAATGCAGCTTGCCTTGTCGTGTTCGAAACCTCATCGTAATGACTCACGAGAGTCTTCCACATGTCAGCCGATGACACAAGCGACCACCATGTTAAAATGCGCATCATCGAGAGACTTACTTATTAGCGATCTCGCCAAGGCATCTTTCTTTTTCCAGTCAGACAGCGTAGCATCCGTTGGTTGCACTCTCGATCCATTGGCCACATCAAATACCTCTTTAGCTTCAAGATGAGCCTGAATCTCAAAACGTCATCGAACATAACTGCTCGAGTTCAGTTGCGTGACAGACTTCAAATTTATTTCCATCCTTGCAGTTTCAAGCGACGATACTTGGACCTCTGTCTTTCTTTGTACACTGTGCCCCTTTTTATTTTTGATATCTATTAGCAGTTCACATGCCTGGGCCCATAACCTATTGGGATTTCTTTATAGCAGAGCGAATAAAAAAATACATGTGTTACAACGGCGTAAAGTAGACTAACTGAGAATAATAAGAAATACATAGACAAGTAATCGTATGATAACCGTGGCAGCGCACGCCATCTGTCTGATAAAAGAAGAGAAAAAAAATAAGACACAATACATCATATACGGCGAGCGCGATACACAAAACTGATTAACAGAAAGGATAAGTGAGACAGACGTCACATAATCAACAATATACAAATTATTAATAATATGGTTTCTGCTTATTTATTATTCAAAACAAGTGGATTAAACACAGATAAGATACATAAGATTTTGAAGAGTCTCATGACTCCATAGTTCCATAAGCCGTTACTATCCTCACATCGCCTTGTCTCTTTCTACATCTGTCAATATGATTTCAGTTCCATGTTCCGTCCAGTACTATATGCCGATGGATAGAATAAGTCATATATTAAGAAAAATAAGAGAGAAGGAAAGAGAAAAGAAAAGAGTTTGAACAGTATGAAAAATATCACGATGATGAATACTGATACGATCTGATATGGTATAAATACTAATACTGAACACGACTCAAATCTAATACAATTTTATAATTTAGTACGCCGTTAGTTCCCGTTTTATCGTTTGGCGAAACGGATTTATACAATCAAGTGTATAGTCCGAAAGGATCGACTTTAAGACGTATCCAGGACTACATTCGCAATATCGCAGGATTGCTGCCGGTTATTTTTTGGGGTAGAGGATTCTTTCAATATTCGTTTGGTCTTATTCCAAATCGATTACCTGTCACCGTAGTCGGTAAAGTTCTCACTACATTTTATAATTTAATATATACCTTATAATATGTGTATATTACATTTTCTTAATATTATCTTTTTTTATTCTACAATATATAAAAAAAAAATTGTTGTGTTTCGTTTCTTCATTTTAGTTGGCAGTCCTCTCGAGCTGCCGAAAATAGAAAAACCCACAGCTGAGCAAATTGATGAATATCATAAAAAATTTGTGGAACATCTAATTGAGTTTTTCGAAACGCAAAAATACAATTATATAAAAAATGCGGAAAAAACTACTCTCGAAACTGATTTGTGATGCGCGCTCGGATAATATCATCTATATTGTAAATTTGTCACTTTATTTGCAAGTTTCTCAAACTATTTGTCATTTTTCTTAAGAAGTTTAAAATATTTCGGGAAAACAAAAGTATTAGATATATATTTAATATATAATTTTATATACAGGGTGTCGCAGACAATCCGTATCAACCGAATATCTCAAAAACAGAGCGCGGCAGATAAAAATATTTCAGACAAAAGTTGTAAAGTTTCAAGTATCGTATTATATGGCGATATCAGTATGACCTTGAAGAGTGTTGTCAAGGTCACGTAAAGGTCACCTTGAATTCTGTACGGAAATTCCAATTTTTTATTGCACATTCTTGTAGCTTATCTCGAGAGCTTTCCAAAACACTATAATTAAGTTTTACTTAAGTATTTTCCGAATTATGA